GTTGCCTACACATACATGATATCGACATATGCTTTTATTAATTTTGTTATATCGGCATACTAAACGCTCGTGACATCTGGTGGCAGGAATTTAATGATAAACTATTATTCCTCTACAATTTTAAAATTTGATCATTCACTTAATGTAGAATCTTTTTGATTATATTTTTCTTCTCGTTATATCCTTTTTTTTATAATGAACTTTTAATATAGAGAATACTATTGTTTAGTACTTGATTAAATAAATATTTAATATTAATGTCTTAATTTTAAATTTTTACAAACATTTTTGAGAAATAACTAATAAATTTTATATGTTAAAATATACATAGAGATGAGCAAAGCAGATAAGATTGTGTGTTTATATGTATGTAATTTTAGCTATTCTTTCCATTTTTGCTTTATTTTCTGCAAGAAATATTATTCTTAAACTAGCAATATTCTATTTAAGTCATTTTTTTACAAACTAGTAATATGCACTTATTAAGATAATTATTAATATAGTTTATAGAAACAGAAATTAATTGTTAAAATTAAATTTAAAATATAAATTCATAACGAATGTTTTTCTTTTATTTAAATATAAAGTGAATAATTTTATTATTATAGCATCAGAATTATAAAATAACATTTAACATGTGTTTTGCTCATCCCATAAATTTTTTCCTAGCAATTCTCAACTTTTATTTGTTAAAAATATAAATTTATTCAAATTTGAGAATGTAATACTATTACGATCGTTATGAGACGACCTTGCCACAGACGGCCGGTAATCCGTGTCGGTATTTCTCCCCCTCCACAAGGTCGATAAAACAGATGCCTTCACGGTGTGGGTATTTCCAACCGATTAACTCGAAATTAGGTGCAAACGGGGATTCTCGGTGATAGCGCGTGTCGATGCAATTTGTGCAAACTCGTGCAGTTAAGTGCACAGGAAACCGATCAATTGCCGCGGAATGGTCGAGCTGCTTCGATCGATCGCTACAATACCAACTCCACATCTGCATTTTTATTACACCCTCGCTGCTTCCGGACGTTGCCCTTTGTGTAGCGCGCTAGGTACGTTAGCGTGAATATATCAACGCATCAAAATTTATATAAAAGTTTTTCGCATTTTCTTCTTTATATTCAAACAAGTTAGGAATGAATTCATTTTAATTTACATGATTAATATTTATTTTTTAAATATATAAATTACATTGACTCACATTGAAAATAAAATTAAATCATTCTGCACTTTAGAAAGCGAAGGAAATATAAATCTATATCCTAACAAATAATTTTTTTTATTTTCATTGTCATTAAACAAAAAAATATAAATAGTTTTAAAATAATAATATTAATATTGAGTTAGTTTGGATTAACTTAAGTGTTGATTTATTTTTATTTAATTAAAATTGTATCTAAAGCAGCTTAATTATAAAATATTTTTAAAAAAATGTTTAATAAAAACATTCACTGAAAAAATGTTTATATCACTTTCGTGATACAACACTTACGTATGCGATGAGACTGGGGAAAAATGTCAATATCGGCGAGTGACTCAGTGGTTTTTTCTAAACACTTCGGATTAAGGATAACGGATTGCATCTCCGTAGTAAGCAAGAGTCTAAGAGACTAATTCAGTTTAATGACATGAGCTTAAGTGTACGATCCTCGGTTCTGATTGGACGCCAACGGCGTTTCGCAATACCTGGAAGCCCATCGGACGATGGCACCCTACCGAGATGACGTCGCACAGCGGCGCGTGCATAACAACCGACGGATTATGCCAGTAGGCCTGTCGGCAGCCGTAATTGATTTCGCTTAAACGGCTAAGCGTATCAATTCCTCTAATAGCTACGTCATTGCGCGATGAAGAAACTAAGATGGAAGACATAGTTAACTTCTTTTTTACTGATAACTCGTTTTACAGAAAAATAATTTTTTACTTATTCTAATTTATGATCATTTTTTATCAATAATTTGATTTCAATTTAATGATAAAGAATCTATATACAGAATTTTCAAAAGTGTATTCTATAAATAATTGTTCTGTCGTTTGTAAATCATTCTTCTTGCAGTGTTCCTAGTAGCCGCGAATATACGTAATTTATCAGACGAATACGTATTCATTCGGCAATTTTTAGTCATTAATTTCTCATTTTCCATAACTAAAATTATAAAATGACTCTTTTGCTCAATTCAATCACACGAGTGTTTTGTCAATAATTATGAAATATTCTGTATATTACTAAAAAAAAATAACTTACATGTAGAAATAGCAAAATGACACCATTTTTTTTATATAATGACGTCTTAGTAAAAAAAGAAATCTAACTATAAAATATTGAAAAAAAAAATAAAGAAATCTACTTTGCTAAATTTTTTATTTGCAATATTTTATTATATTCGTAATATTCTATTCTATTATATTCTATTATATTCTATTATATTCGCCAGTTGCATAATCTATTCTGTTATTTTCATTTTATTGTTCAAACTTATTCTTACATACGTAATAGATAATAAAGTTAAATCGCTCATGAGTGTATAAATATTATCGTACAGTATAATATAATACTTTTTACTGCTATAGTAACAAATGTGTTATAACACGCAATATCGCATCCTCAAAGGCAAACGCCATTTCTTGATATTGCATGCGAGTATATTGAATAAGCTTCAAAGATGTAATGCGATGAGAATACTGAATTATTCCTCACTTAGTAATCAATTTTTATCAAAGGACACTAAGGACATAAAATAACATTATTTTAACCATCCGTCATTAGATTTGTTATATATAGCACAATTAATTTATACTGAAATATAATTATTTAAAAAAAAAATAGTATCCAATGACTTGTATGCTGGTTATCAACTACATTACATACATGCATGTAGGTTGGTATTACACAGCGCAAAGCAGAAT